TTGACTTGTATGTTATAATTATTGTCAGCATAAATATCCTACTACTGGGGTGGATCATGCTAGTTTAGCTAGATACTAGTTTCCCGATGTTTTCCTTCAAGAATTTCTGCATGAATGAATTTTCGCACTATGATATCATAATAACCTTAAATTTAATAAAAATTAAATTTTTGTACGTAGTTGAAATATAATAGGAAAATATTTTTATAGATATAACGACATACTAAGTAGACACATAAAAAATCAATGAGCTGTGGACATTTGGTGATATATGTTGTGGGCTGGCAATTTCAATCATCATAAATTGAACGGAATGCGAGGAATGTTGTTTGTAACAATTGCAATAAATCTAAGAAGCGCATTTCCTCGGCCAATATAAAACTTTTCCAATATTAACAATGAAAAACATACAAGAATGTTATATAAAATCTCTTGCCATATACTACATAATTTGGTCAGATGAGAAAACCTTGTCTATTCCATATATTTAATTTACTGTTATTAAGCAATTAGTGCTGACATTGTTCGATATATTCAGTATCAATTATCAAAACAGAACAGAGTTAGAAGCTGTAAAAAAAAGCAAAACGAGTCGTACAAAAATCTGTAGTTAAAAAAAATATTTAAAAATTACTTAATATGAAATTTATATCATAATAGATACATCCAAACCTTGTATGACATGAACGAATTGGCGATTGATGTTAAATATGCACGTGGACACTATTTTAACTTTGCATTAATTATTTTATTCTAAAATGGACAATGTTTTTACATCAACTGAGTTTCGCGAACTTATTTATTTTTCTGTCACTAAAAAGTAAATATTTTATATAAATGAAGTCACGATCGAAATATATTTGTATCAGGCTTGCATCTGAAACTGGCGCATGCCCTGCATACGTCTCAGGGTTCCCAACTTTCAGTATTAAAGAAGTTAAGATACTTGAGTACCAAAATTGGCCTCTAAAATATTTAATAAAAATTATTATACCGGTAAAGTTCGGATCTTTGCTGCTATATTTCATAATATTACATATAATATGTTAAACACGTAGGTTCCTTTTATATTTTTTTTACTCGCTCGTTTTATTAATGATATAGTCAGTGGTCACAACCGGGACTCGGGTCTGGGTCAGGGCTGTTTGGTACGTTTCATCTAGATTGAAAAACTAGTGAAATGTTAACCGGTTATCCGGGTTCATCCGGTTAGCTGGCAACCCTTGAACGTTCAATGTTCTATTGATATTGTTCTAAACGTAGCTCGTAAAGTTTTCCAATATCGAAACAGTGTCGAGTGCATGCAAATAAATTGTGCCAGTTTTCGTCTGTTACCGCTGGAATTCATATTCTTCGACTGCGGTTAAAATGCAGATGCTGTTAAATGAAATATTTTTTAAGTGATTGACCTAAAAATATATTTAACTCTGCAGCTATGCAATGTGCAAGCTGCGTCATACGAAAATCTATGTATCTGTGATCGTAAACAAATACCGCAGTTGCGGTGGCGTTTCTGCTGTTAGACAAGACACTGCTATACTGCTATGTAACGAATTGCTATAAATTGTTTCGAATTAGATACGTTTACCGCACCCCGGGGTGTTCCGTTAGTTGCTGATTACGGATGAAAACATCAGATCGAAGGGGGATTGTAGATAAAGTCATTGTTTAGCTCTGACGGTCATAATTTATTCTTTCGACATTGTTGTCTCCCCTGTTCTGCTCGTTTTACAGCATTGGTTTATGGAGACCGTGTAATCCCAAGGTATTTCACGTTCCTCTATACCGTGAAGCTCGGACAATAGAACTCGTAAACAAAGTAACATTTTTAAAGCCCATTCGTAAAATTAAACGTCCTGTGATCATTTTAATGTGAAGTCAAAACAATATGCATTTTTTATTTAATTACTTATTACTAAAGTAGGTTTTTTTCAAGTGAAATACGTTTTACTTATTTTGAAAGGAAGCGTATAGACTTTTGCTCCTGAAAATTAAATCTTAACACAATTAATTGTTTCCAATTTTATAATTTTTTAAATTTTACAGACACATAAAAAGGTTAGTAAATCAACCTCTCTCAAAATGCGGTGTGGTTGTATTGAATCGTGGCTTTATTATAACCAAATAAACCCGAGTATAATAAACAAGATTATTAAACGTCAGTTGTTGCATTAGTGGTGATTGGCTCATCCTACTTCGTTAGCTTACAAAAAAACGTTCGTATCAAGTATGGTAAGGGTCCCGAAATCCGCAAATTGGCTCCCCTATCCACGTCAAATTATAGTATTGTATGAGACCCTTGGTCGTATGCATTATTCTGAAACATAGATAACAATGTAACTTGTATTAAGTAATTCTAGGAGAGTTTGGTAAATATTTATTGTTATAACGTTCTTTATCGCCCCAATAAGGCTAACATACTTTCGTGTCTCTTTCATTGATCATTCTCATTTATTGACAAGTAGATGATTAATATTGTTTATATATAATTATTTGTTTACGCAAGTAAATCAAATTATTATATTAGGCTGGAAGTCTAGACTTATCTGCTAACCGTAAACATAGTCGTTAGTTATTAGAAATATTTATTGAAAACGTTTTGTTTAGGACTATAAGAATTTAAAAATACACATCGAACTGCAAACCAATATGGGTAAATATATAGTATATTAAAGTCGTGTAATAATGTTATTATTTAGTATTTATATAAGTAACGTAACGTAAAATTAACTTAATCGTAAAATGAAGCAGTACTCAAACAGCCGCACTTTCACAAAGGATCAACAAAATATCTACATTATGGTGGAGCTGTTAAATATTATACTACATCTTGTATGTAAATATAATGCATTAATTGCAAATAAAGCAGAACCCATGCAGAAATGCAACTTATACGTCTGTTTATGTGGTCCCTCAGGACGCTGGGATACTTTTGGCTGAGAGTGTTTGAAACTTGCCAAAAACTTTTCTGATTAAAACCACGACCAGCGACACTGTATAATTAACTGGTGTACTATATGCATTTAACTTTTAATCGTATTAGGAAATGCAACTTTCATGTTTCAAAATAGCATTAATTTCGTTGTGAAATTGTGCATTGCAATTACAAAAATTGCTAGTGTTACCAACATAAAATGTAAATAAACGAAAACCTAGCCAAATTTTTGATTATCGACGCATGACCATAGTATGAATGGGTCATAGTAAGCTCATCTCGATTGAGAACAAGGTACAAAGAAACTCTAACTTACTTCTCCTAAAACATGCTCATTTTAAAATAATTAACGCGCACAAATTGTCTAACAATTGAATTATTGCGATATAAAGTTGCATTTACATAAGACACCCCTAAAAAGTTTGTCCATTGTCTTGTCTGCGAAAATGAATCGTAAAATTAATATCTTGAAAGATGACGCTATTAAAACATAAAACTCCTATTTCAAGTAAGGTCTGAGTTGAATGCTATCAATTTAAATGTCTGTATTAAAATTAATAATATACTAACCATAAACATTACTATCATCTTTGGAAATATCATAAAGTTTATTCTTAACTAAATACAATTTTCATTCAAATAGCTGGAACCGTTTACTATGAACTATTACTATTTAAATATGTTTCGATGTAAAAGTTTAAAAAATAAAACCTGCTATGTTGTACAAAGTCGCGAGAAATATCACCTAATATGTACTGGAATTATAACTGTCAAAGTTTACAGCGTAACTTCCTCGTGAAATTATGTCATTAATATCTTAATTAAGGGGCAATTCCCTCCAAAGGTCCTTACAATTATGTCACAGACACGTATTGAAGCCGTAAAAAACTTCCCTCGTAAAACAATTACATTTTTAAGTTTTATAACGATTTTTCTTGTTTGTTACTGAAGATAAATATCGCCATATCGATTTAATACTTTATACATTCACTAACAATGTTAAGCAACATCTTCTAAACCTGTCCTATGCTGCAACCGGAAGTATTCTTCCGTGCAACAGTAGTTCAATTATAAAATTGTGTTATGTAACATTTATTACGTCAAGTATCTAAAATCGTTAATATGTCAAATGGAAGAGAGTAGCTGCAGCTGAGAGCTAGCTGCTAACAGGGAATCCTTGCGTGGGGGCTAGTGCACTTTCTCTTTTAACTATACATCCCTTTTATTTTGTGTATTATTATTTTTTCTTTTCCTGTTTTCTTATTTTCATTGGTAACAGTGAAATTAGCTAATTAAAAGTGCCCCCGGAAATATTGGTAAACATTTTCCTTATCCTTCTTAATTACCGGAAAATTATTGTCACAGTTCGTATTGATTTCGAATTTAGATATTGGTCAACCGAGACAGTGTTTTTTTTAGTTGAAATAAAAAATGGTCTAAAAGAACGATTGATTGTTTATTATTCGATTAAATCAACGTTCTCGAACTCTTCTTTCTATCACTTTTTTGAAAAGGATATATTGTCCTTAATAGATGATACTTCTTTGTTCTACAAACTATTATATATATGAATGGAATAAAATATAACAAAATAATTACAGAAAATCGTATATTCTTATTGGTAACAACACCTTAACACAGGCAAATCACAATATCCGGCATAAATGAAATATAAGTAAGTGGCATAACTAATTAGCTACTTATTATCGGACGGCCACCCTAATACTGGAACTACAATTACAAGTGGACAAGTTTTCCAGAATGTTCAAAGTTGTATAGAAATCTATTTGAAGTTGCTCGTTTAAAAGCACGACAAACATTTCTGGGAATGCGCAATTTCGAGAGCGACCTCTTTTAGTAATTCTATACTTTTTTATTTTTTGAAACACGATTATCAGTTTTCTTGATAATTTTTCTTTTATTCACAAGAAGGACGTGTTACGCTTAGTCTTTCGCTTTAATTCATAATTGTTTTTATTTCAGGAACGTGGTGTATAACCTCAGTTTGACTGACCTCACAGAGCAAAGACGACTCGTGTGGTATTCATCAGAAAGTGACGTCCAAATGTGTGTCGTCAAGGGGAAGGATGAGGTAAGGAGAATCTTCTGTGTCAATTATTTGTTTGTGTAAGAAAGATAATGTTCTCAAAGTAGATCTTATTACGCCCATAAACTAATGTTTGTCATAATATCTTAAGTTGTTTTATAATTTTGTTATTATAAAAGAAAGACAGTGTCATGTCGCACAGTTTCACTAATTACCTGAATAGAAGGGAAATTGTCCTTTCAAAGACGTATTGTGATGTTATTTTACTTCGAGATAATGAGCAGTCTCTACGTAATTACAGAAATGTGGAAATGGAAATTTGCCTTTAGTTATTTGTGAATTATTCTATACGGGACAAAAGTTACGTAAATAATATATGAACAATTATTTCGACACATTTAACTTTACACGGGTTGTTAATATGATCTTGTTTGAATGTTATGTGAACTTTTATTTCCTTTTAGTCATTCCTATCATAATAATCCTGTAATTCTGATTCAGTACTTACCAAAAAAGAGTTTCAAATTCAAAATCATTTATTCATATAGGTAACAAAATGTACACATACTTATGAACATCAAAAAATAAATATATATGAAATGCTTCAACTTTTACATTTACTGCCAGTTCTCAAATCGAGGGTGTAGAACGGAAGAGAAGAACTGGCAATAAACTCGTATACAGAACATAGAAGACGCGTAGCCACTGCGTAGAGTCTACGCCGTAGATCCTTCGTAGGACTTTTTGAATGCTGATTTACATCTAACATTTGTGACACTAGAGCCAAGTAAATCAACCGAAACCGAAGGATAGTCACGTCTGACGGCTGTTTAAAGCGAGGACGCCACTCAAGCTTGAATTTCCAAATGTTCTACAGGAAGGCCAATCAATTTCTAGAGTCGAGTTATATCATTTTTGTTCAAGCGATTCAAGAATTCAAAATTTATATTTTCTAAAAACCAATTTCGATTGATTTTAGTTTAAAATCACGATAAATACAAACTTGTTGAGAGCCTTAAACAATTTTCTTGAAGCTGTATATGTACTACTTCTTCAAATGGGCGGCTCGTTTTAATAAATTATTATTAAGTGATTTATAACACAGACAAGGGTCGTTCATACCACAGTTTATAGGCTATTTGATGCCTCTCGGACAAAAGCAAAGCATCTTAATGGTTATATACGATCAATATTGCCTTTAATGTCGGTTAGTATCTGAAGCCAATATAATCATTTTATTACTATGACCTAGTTGAGTCTTGGCAAAGGCTTCTAAATATTATGATCTAATCCTTATCCAATTTATATAGTAAAGAGAATGTTTTTAGAGGCGTTAGCTAATGTTTTTATAACGTCTTAGTTTTATAGTGTAATACATGATTTTATATACAAAATTGTATTGTCAGTCGATAAATGGAAACAGAACAAGAACACCAGGAGCTTTATGTAGCTATTAATTAATTTCAAAAGGCCTGTTACATTATAGTTACGTAACAAATAGAATTTTATCATAAATTTAATTCAGGTTAGGATACAATTGTAAAATACTGCTAATGACGATAATAAAACAACTACTTCTTGAAATAGTCTTAATCAAACATTTCGGTAAACAGTGACTATGTTACGATTTAAGTCAATATAACCGTATATAATGTTACCGACAGCGGCATTGTTCTCCAGAAGCCGCAAGCCGTCAAAATCTCTATTATCTCAATTTAATATACCGTCTTCATTGTAATGGATTAGTCTGAAAGGTGTCAACACTGATGCGATAATCTGAGCCATAATAATAAACGCATAGGTATCATATTACTATTGGATAATCATGAATATAATATAATAGTTTATATTTGTATTATTACTGTTATAATGTTGTTTTTAACCAACAACAAATATGTATATTACGTATTTTATATTGTATTAATTTTACGCGAGTACTACACTCCTACTAAATCTTCGCGTCAAATAAGTATTATTTTTATTTTACACGTTCGAGACCTAAACATAATGAACTAAAGATTTAATCAAATCATATTTGATGGTAGACCTTAGGATTATTTTTTTGAAGGAAATTTCATACAGCTAATTCTTTGAATTGAAATGAATCGGATACGCGTTAAATTCTCAGTCGGACGGCAATCGGATCGAATCAACATACGATCCAATCAAGCGGGCTGAACTAAATCCGGATTGAGTCGCGTGACCGACTCTGTGCATGCTAATGTAATCTGTCATTGTATGCGATATGTCATAGACAATACTATAGACTGCTCTGTGCAATAAATCCATATAGTACTGTTACGACTGAAAAATATGATTAAAATCGACTGCGTCGTTCAATGCAATTAAAGATTGACACTTAAGCACCGTATAATAACATATATTTCATTCATGAAATAATGGAATTACCTAGCCTTAAAGACATTTATAAGATGTTCGTTAATGTTTTGACAAAGTTAAAAGAAAAACAATGTAAAAATGAGAGTAACGTATCTTGCTCATCCACATTAGCTTAATATGAGAAGCGGAAAATTCCGAATATTATCTCCACACATTCGGGGAAGTAACAAGGCGCACAGCGATTTGCCGACACTTGTGACTTCTGGCAAAAACAACTCAAATTGCTAGTGACATGAGCTAGGAAAACACATTTCCTCCGCTCTTTGGGTGGTGACAGATTCCTTTAATTCATTTTCGCTTATAAATAAATAACGTTGTTTACTATGTACGTGTCTTAATATATTTTTTTTTATTCTTTATTTTTCATGTCGGTTTATCTATTTAGAAGTTTATTCATCCAATATAACTTACGAGTAGGAATAGTAAAAAGTTTCGTCAATACGTATATTACAGCCATGAAAAATTAGAGCTTGGAATAAATACTTTAAACATAAATAGAATTTAATTATTATTGTTTTTAATGTAGAGATAAATAACCAGAAATTACCTATTATTTTCAGGAAAGTTGTCAGAATTATATTCGAGTGCTAGTGTCCCTGGGATCGGGGAGGCTACTCATCTGTGGGACCAACAGTTTCAAGCCAGTATGCCGGGAGTATGGCGTCCAAAGAGACAACTATCACATGGAAAAAGAAAAATCGGGGCAGGCAGTCTGCCCCTATGACCCTGAACACAACTCTACCGCTGTATATGCAGGTATTGTAACTATTTGCTTAATAGGGATAGGTATAAAGACATTTAGGTAAAATTATCCAAAAAATACATACCCATTAAGAAAGATATTTAATTTAACACTAGTATAATAAGTGTCATAATCATTCATTTTACGATTTGTCTCATTTCGGGACATACGTAACCATTCAGACCCATTCCGAGCGAATAAGCCGGGAATGAATGGGCAAAAACAAACAGGTCAGCATGATTAACGTTGACGTAAGGCGATTCACATTCACTATTCAATCTTATGCACATTCAGCTTTCATAACGGGCCGTTTAGAAACTGAAATGTACGGTAGATAACTTTTATGTTCTCACTTTTCATCAATTCTTTCGGGATGTAGGTTGCAGCTAAACGATTCCTCCGTTTAGAACAACTAGATTGAGCTGAGGATTTATTAACCGAATAGCTTTTGTCATTATGTAGGTATAAACTTAATTCGAGATATTTTAATTCACCATCAAACACTGAGCCATATATATTAACTAAATAAAACTAAAAACTAAATTGATCACTGCAAATAATACGTCTGTATGGAACTTAAACTTACCTTGGGAATGACTGTTAACGCAGGAGCGAACCTAATGTTATCACACCGCATACATTCCTAGATCTCATATTACACAAAAAATATAACTATGTCTATTCTATAATCTATTATGTTGACATATTATACAAGGATCCGGATCAAGGATCTTCAAAGTGTATACTGAAATTCTACCGAAGTTTTAGCTTACAGTTTTGATATATACTCTATACAGTTTCTGTTTTGCATCAATAACATAAATATAAAACATATTTCTATGAATAAAACTCGAAATCTAAGAAATCGATTGAGGTCGATTATTCCGTTCAATAAAAGCAAAAATAGCTTTTAAACTCCAACACATGTGCCAGTTGTGAGAAAATTAGGAAAAATGGAAATCTTTTTCATCGATTGAACCCACTTTCACAGTCTGATAGCGCACAATGGCCACTCTTTGTTGAGTTGAAAGAACCCCAGGAGGGTGGTATACTATTGTGTACCTTCATACATTATACGTGCCGAGACAATGAAACTTCGAGAAGCCCAGGCTTAATTTTTTATAGATTTTCATGTACTACGCCGTGTAACTTAATTAGTATGAAATTTGTTTTTATTAGCACACATTAAAAACAAATCTTAGAAAACCATAACCTATACAGAAACTTGTCGAAACGAAACGAAATCTTAAAAAAATTTAGAGTTTAAAAATATATTAATATAATTATTATTTTGATATGGTGAAATTCCGTGTTTATCAATTAATACTTATAAGAAAAATAAGTCTCGAAGGGAAGTTACTTCTAAGCAAATCTTTTAATATTCACTTCAATCCTGTTGTTCCTTGTTTGTGAATAGAAATTATCTAAGACGCTGACACCTAAGACGTCTCTGTAAGAGGTTTATATTTCTATTTTAATTATGTTTATTAATACCTTAATTTTTGTTTTCCTAAGAGCGCATCGTGCAATCAGTCTTCTGACAGCTGAGCAGCTGAGTTGTAGGATGAACACCTTAAAATAATATATTATTTCTTCATACTACATAACGGTATAAATATGAAAATTGATTTGTTAAAAAAAATGTATTATTTCTTCAAAAGACATGAACGGGGGGATATTTGTACGTATTTTTATGCTAGCATAATTTAAAAAAATAATCTAAAAATTATCAATGATATTTGAAAATTTATTGGTAAAAAAACCCCTTTTTGGGGGGGTTATATATTAGATTTTGTCCGGTTCGATTTTATTTTATTTAGAACATATGCCGTATGATCTAAAGACCATCTGCGGCATTACGTGCCAATAGTTGTACCCTGAAAATTCGACACTTGCTAATTAGAATGTACATTCGAGGATAGGCAAACGTTCTTGAACACTCCCCATTCTAAACACTTTATGCAACGCAACTGTACATCATCAATTATTCCTTTGTCCCTTAGTCCAATTTTCTTTGCGTTAGCTCATCCCCCAGCAAATTCTGCAACCATTTATCACGTGAAAATCAACGAAAGATCGCTAATATAAAATATTATGTTACGTAAACTGTCAAAGAAAAATCGCAATATTTATTTTCTCTTTATAATTTCTTTTATATTATGCAATGCGAATTAACAACATACACTCTTCATTTACATTTCTGACAACGTCGCATTAACTAAACATAAACACGATTTCCCAACACAATTGCTATAACCTCACAAAAACATCAAATTACGATCCCATTAATATCCTTATTCAATACGAATCACAGGAGGTAATCCAATGTAATATTAAAACATTAATACAGTGGAAGCAGACGTCCATTACCACAGCTATGGTTAGTTATCCACTATTGATCGGTCCAATTAAGGCGAGAGGCCCTCACGGGAACCGGCCGTTCTTAGTGGTATGTAACTCGATACATAGGGCAATAATTTGTTCGGTAACACTAGGTTTTGAGATGAACTTAGTATTAGATAATGGAGGGGCATAAAGTGTTTTAAGAGACACTGCAGAAGCTATTAGGCAAGCACTTTTAAATCGATGATGCACCGCGTATTCAATGTGTAGTAAGTCATAAGTGTTATAGTGTATACATTATAGAAATAATGTTAAACAGTTTTAGTCTTATTAGATCATCAAATACATTTTTGATGATCGATTATAAATATTGCGAAAAAAATTACAAATAATTGGAATTTTCTGATATAGATATTTGCGAAACAAAAGGTTTTCATATATTGTAAACATGTCAGTTATGATAGGCAGAGGAAAATTCTAGACAATGGAGTTTCATGAAAAAAGTTATACAAGTCAAATAAATTCTGCTTTATTGAATTGCGTATAAAAAACACAAGTTTCTTTCAATATTTTTGGATAGTTCATAGTAACGGGTTTTGGACCGTTTATATTGTCAGTAAAAAGCATATTTTATTTAAGCCACTAAAACCATTTACTAACAAACACATGTATAAAACAGTTGAAAGAAAACCATATCAAAACAAAACTATACACAAAAGGTCACGATTGAGTCATCTCTACTAGCTTGAAAACTCAACTTGCACCTTTGTAAACCCAGGGTAAGGTGTGAGTGCCGAATATGTAAAGTATCATCATATCATGTTACATAGTACATTGTGCATTGGGAATGCCACTTAAGTTATCGACATTATTGTAATGCACTTAGACATCGACTCACACTCAAGCGTGTATCGTATAACGTAGCCGGTGTCTATTAAAGTGCATTTAGGTTTAGTAAATTTTTGTTTATAACTTATTTATTTATATCATTAAAAATCTGCATTTACCAAGTCTAGATACTCGTTTTTTGACTAAAATTTATGTATATTTATTAAATATATATAATGCTCGCATGCTCTTTTCAAAACCACTAATTACACTTACACTTAATACAATTTATGCAAAAAGGGTTACTTGTAATATCCCTAAAACTAAAAAAATATTAACTAACAATACTATTATCTCGAAATAAAGTCTGGCTTATTACAAGAACGAACATCTATTAAGATTACACCTCTAATTCCGAAATATTGGGTAGCTATTACTGCAAAGCTTCGTTGAACACTGCAATGCGGTACATTGCAGGGTACGCTCGCCTCAATATGGCTAGCAATGAATCAAATATAAGCGCAGTATTTTGATATTTACTGCAACACAATACGGCTCACAATTGAATGGAACGTATGAATACATTTCAGCACCATCTGCTGTAGGCCGTAACGTAGAAAGCAGACGATTGACGAAACACAATTTTTCTGCCATTCCTGTGATAAAATGAACTCGTTTTGGGGAAAAGCAATTTTTGAAATAAGAACCTATTGTTACTTTACGTTGTATGGAAGTAGCTTTAAATGCAAATGTATCTAAAAACCGTGACTATTAGATTAAACTTGATAAACGTCTAAACGCTTTAGAAAATTAAATTATTGATGAAATGTGGTTTTCCTAAGTAATTCTTAAATAATCTTAAGATAAAAGGGATATTATATAGAGGACTCTTTTTCACACAGAGACTAGTTTCAAAAAGGCAATTTGGGGAAGTGGCATTGTTAATGAATACCATCTATGGAATAATGAAATAGGTTATTGGTATGAAAAACAAGATAAACTTATAAATAAATACAAATACAAACCCCATATGAAGGTCACAGAGTAAAAATAGAGAATTATTTTAAATATTTACGTATATATAATATACAAGTAAATTCCCACCAGCTTTACATAACGTGGTTACTAGCTTGTAAATTCCCAGTAAGGCTTTAAATAGCGCACAGTATATTATCTAATTGCTTCAGAGCTAAACGCCGGTCACGTAACTCGTTCTTTATTCTGTTGTTTCAACTGCATCGCCGATTTTCTTCATTCGATTACTGATTTTTTAGGTTCAAAACTTTCTAAACAAAACAAAAACAATCTAAAACCTTCGAGAACAACTCTTCTGGTATCTTAAAAATAAATACGCTCAGAATGCACACAACTACACACACACAACTTATGAGCTCTTTGAAATCTCACTTCTTTTCATTGTACGTTTTTTATTCAAATAACTTGAAATTCAATGCGCATTAAAAATAAAGCTATTGATTCCCAGAGACTTATTCAAATGAATGAATTGAGTACATATGCTTTTATAGTTTAAATACAATTATATTTCCATACTACTTTATAGTTCAAGCGTTAAGAAATAACATTTATAATTATTATAAATATAAATCTATTTAAATACTGCATTATATATCAGTGTAGTGATCATTATATCAATCGAGAAACTTATCTTTGCTACTATGAACGGTTATAGTGTCGCTGGGAATTGGATCCAATACCTTCGTTTATAGTAAACTCATTTTTAACATTTTCAGATGCGGAGCTGTATTCAGGCACAGTGGCAGATTTTAGTGGCATGGAGCCCATAATATACCGCGAACCCCTTCAGACTGAGCCTTACGACTCTATGACATTAAACGGTAAATATGATCCTGAAACCTTTGTAAGTTAAACGTTTTAGCTACACATATTACGGCTTGTTTTCCAAATCATACCATGTCGTTTTAAACACACAAATTTGTCAAACTTCATATCGAACACATACCCACGTGGCAACTTTGTTAGTGGTGTTGGTTAAAGACTACATTGGTAAATAGAAACACATGATCAACTCATCCATGTATAGAATAACAATAGATGCAATCATCGGAATTTGCAACTGTCTTAGGCCTGCAGGGCTGCCATCCATCTTCCCTCATAAGAAGGTCCCCAATACACATTTAAATGACATTAAACGCTGAACCTTGAATTACATTATCTAGTATATTTTATATTTAAGATAATAAAAAAATAGCTGAGGAGGAGGAATTAATGGTCATAAATGTGTACCTATCCTTTACAAAGTAACTGTACACGAAGCGTTCACCAAAACTTCTTTTTATTAAGGAATACATTATGAACTTTCGCTGTTTTCGTTGTTCTTCTTTCTTTGTTATGTGCTTTTTTGCTTTAAGAAAATAGCATTTATTAAAAACGTTTAAGAGTCGGTTTAGCGTAACGTGCGATCCTGGATATGAATTTTTCTTTCTGTGCGCGCAATTAACACTTGCTCTTAAGATAAAAAAAAGGGTGCGTGTACTTATGTACGCGCGTAAGAAGTTATACTTCTTTGGCATTATTAAAAATAGTTTGGCTTTGTTCCACCTCCAGTTTTTGATGTTTCACAGCGATAAGATGACAACTCTTTTTTTGAATTCAATTTAGTGCAGTTACACTGATTCATCAATTGTTTTTTGTCTCTTGTCCTTATATTTGCTAGAGAAAAATTACATGTTTTGATTAAACAATGTGGTAATTTTTTTAATCAAAACATGACTCGATAATAATAATACAAACTGATAGTTAACCTCAATTGTAATGAAGCACTTAGGAAGGTTGATGAGCACAGTTTTTTCACAAATATTAATTAGTATTGGTTTAAATATTCAATTTAAATCACTTCTGATTATATATAATTCAAAAAGCATTGCTAAATTTCTTTGAAAAATAATTAAAACTCCTTTATTTGTTTAAAAGGTAAATGACAAATGTCATTATGGTCATTCAAAATTCTTGGCATACGAACTTCACGCATATTCTATTTCTTTTTACTTGTAGATTGTCTTATTCCTATCTCGCTCGCGCACGCTATAATCACACTCCTAATTTTGTGTCACAGGTGCGCGCGCATCGTAAAATTTCACTCTCATAAATTTTTCATAACGCGCCTAAAGAAGTATAACTTCAATAATTATCGTGAGGAAATCAGCATGTCTTAGAACGAGAGAGACGGCACACCACTACAGCTACCTACTTGCCTAAAGGAATGAATGAAACAGATACAGAAATGTCTGTCCATTCCACATTAGATTTTTGGTGTCTAGAACACAATATAGTTGATTGTGTTAATTCATAAATACTTTTCTACTAAAGATGCGTTCCTACAAAAACAGAGCAATGAAAACAAAACCAATTCCTCGGGTGTTGAGTGAAAAAATATTCAATAATTATTTCAGAACACGCGAACACGTAAATAGTAGCTCGTTAAAATGTCGAAACAGAATTTGCATACATACGGTATGAAATACGCAAATATATTGATTTTAATGAAATGGTCAACACTGCGCATCTATTATCCCCGATTCATTGGTTACGAAAATAATATAATTTCTATTCATTAAAGCAATGTTGGTTTCAGTGAAAATCGAACGTCTAACTAAATATTCGCAAATAATAATGACACTGGAGTAGAAATATTTTCAGCGTTGGATTAATTAAATATTGTGTTAAATTTTTTCTCACTAATTATGTTTTGGACCACATTTCTACCAGAATAATTTCGTATAAACCTTTACTATATAAACTTAGGATTGGCGTCAATACATCAACTGACTTCATTTTTAATTCTTCGTGTTAAGACAATCACATTTATATATTTAGTTTTACAGTTTGTTTTTACTTTTATTACCATCTAAAACATACATTTTTTGAAATATTCAAAATTCAGCCTCATTCCACATAAAACCGGCTTTCGCAACTGTCACAGTGACATTTGACGCGACAAATCGATAAATCGGATTAGTCTGGCATTTAAATTATCGACACAGACGATAGGGTTACAGCCTTAATCATATGTTTACGCAGGGCATTAGTATGGTGTCCTAAGACTAATTACGTTAACTTGAATTTCAGCCCCCGATTTCGTGAATTCGTTAGTACATGGCAACTTCGTGTACTTTTTCTTTCGGGAAACAGCGGTGGAATATATCAACTGTGGAAAGGTAATTTATGTTATATTTCGGCTGTTATTTATGTCATAAATGTGGCTTTGCGGAGACTGGCTTAATTATTTTGAATGTAACTAGTAAATAAATAAATTACGTACGATATAGTTAACAGTGCTTTATGTTCTTTCGAATTTCTTTTACAGTGAAACATAAATAAATAACTATTGCGTTATTATTTATTGATTTTAATAAATTTGCGACATTGTACGTTCTTAACTATTTAAAACTAAGAAACAGCAGTAATCATTAATGTAGTGAGCTGCTGTTGACTTAGAAAGGAACGCTGACATTCAGCCGAATATTGTCTTTGATTAAGAAGCTCCGTCAGTCTCTAGTGAAACGTAGCGTATTTCCATCTATTTCCCTTAAATAAAGAGCTTCGAAACAATTGCAGTCCGTGTTTTCCCGCGTTGCGCGCGTGTGCCGCGACGACCGAGGGGGCCCACACCGCTTCAAGCAACGCTGGACTTCCTTCCTCAAGTCGCGACTCAATTGTTCCGTCGCTGGCGACTTCCCCTTCTATTTTAACGAGATTCGTAAGTCTGCGAGGTTTTTATTATTATACTAGCATCCCTTGGTTTTGCGTAAAAATCATATCTCAATATATACAAGGCTTTTAATAGGGTTGTACAACTTTTTATGATAACTTTAATCAAATAAATAAATATATATATATGTATATTAAAAATTATATATTTTATTTTTATTTCAGAATCCACGACAGAACTGATAGAAGGTGTTTACGGTGGTCTGAACGCACAGTTGATTTACGGTACATTCACGACACCGCCCAACAGCATATCCGGTAGTGCGGTGTGCGCTTTCAGTATGCAGGACATAGCTGATACCTTCGAAGGAACCTTCAAGGAACAGAGTGCTATCAACTCCAATTGGTTGCCTGTTAATAGTGCTAAGGTAATTATGACTGAATTTTAAACGGTTTTAGCCGAAAACAGGAAATATACCATGTACTGAAAAATAAAATTATGATTAATTTATTTTTATCTATTCGGGTGGCCAACCAAGAAGTGGTTTAAAGATACTCGTATCCCTTCCAGACTAACCGTTTAACCGTGTAACCGAATAAAAAAACAGAGATCTGGTGAAACTTTAATAAATTATTATTAAATTAAATATCTAATTATATCGCGACCGCTTCAGTGGGAGAGTTGGTGGCGTAGATTCCCTATTCGGGGTTTCGAATCTCGACGAAACAAAAGTTTCTATCAAGTTAGTAGATTCAGTGGGTTAAATAACCGAGACAACTAAAATTTAATACCTCTTCGTAATAAATTGATGTATTCTTTCAGGTACCAGAGCCCAGACCAGGCACCTGTCACAACGACTCCAGGCAGTTGCCGGATCAAACGTTGAACTTCATCAAAACGCATGCGCTGATGGACGAATCAGTGCCAGCTTTCTTTGGCGAACCGATCGTTATTAGAACCAGCTTTCAGTAAGTTCTTGTTGTATTTATAAAGGCTTCCTATTTAAATAATGGGTTCTATAGAATACCGAATAAGTATGGTTTTTGTCTGTATTTTTTTTATCTATTTTAATTTGGTATTGTTACGAGTGCGGATAGAAAGGCCATAGATCTCTTCAAGGGTTTGTTTAAAAAAAATAAAAGAGGAATTTAATTGCCCACAAAAACACACAAAATATTCTCACAACATCATGTGTCTTCAAAATTTGCACTTTTCTCTCTTGATTTGTCTCTCGGAACAATGTTCATGCTTTTTATTACTATCGCACAATGTTCAGACTGGGTTCGAGAAGATTCAAATCTTCCCCCTCTCTCCCACATTATTCTCTTCTTATCTCACACCTAGAAAGGTCACTGTAGAATGTTTCTTCATCAAAGGGGTATAACCAGTCCTGAAAATTACGTAATTGACTTGCCCTGCGGCGTTAGAAAAATCCTTTTAAAATCATGAAATCCGTCGTCGTAACAATTTTTTTGTTTGTGTACTTGTCTTTACATTTTTCTAATATTCTTGTTTCCAGTTTAATTAAGCCGGAAGTCAGTACTACCCGTATTCTATAATCCTAAATTCAAATCAATTTATTATTTAATACCCAAGCTCTCTGCTTAATTTTTTGTAAAACTCATGAAGGAGATTTTAATAAATTTAAAAGATGTTAATAAAGTGTTACCATTATTTAAAAAGTGATTTTTTTTCAGCTACCGATTTACACAGATCGCTGTAGACCCACAAGTGAAAACACCAGGAGGCAAAGCCTATGATGTTTTGTTTATTGGAACAGGTATGAAATTTATTACATTTTAATATCATAGAGTTAATAGTAGAGAGAGAAAGAGAAAGACGGATGCTTGACTCTCTCTTGACTTGGATGTTGGTAACTGACCAAAAAAGGTACAGTTTACCACTTATTCACTTTACATTTATCAATATGTACCTGGATTGATTTTCTATAGATTGTACTTATTTTTAAGTTGATATTAAATATTTAAATCACGTTTTCAGATAATGGCAAAATAATAAAAGCGATAAACGCAGTATCGTACGACACGAATAAACGCGCGGCGCCCGTAGTCATCGAAGAGCTGCAGGCCTTCGGAGCTGGGTCCCCGGTTCGAGCTCTGAGAGTGGCCAGAGCCGGTCGAGATGCGGCTAGACTTATTGCAGTGTCAGATAAGGAAGTACTAAGTTTGAGACTACATCGATGCTCCAGTGACAAGATTAGTTCTTGCTCGTGAGTATAGTTAAAAATTTCTTCGTTTACCGGCAATAAATAGTACCCCCTATTCAATTTGATATTGAGTTGTAATACGATAGATATCTTATAAAAGTGATGTCTTCTAAAGAGAGCAAAAAACTAAAGGTGAGGATTGTAAAAGCAATTTCTTTTACAGAGAGTGCGTGGCCCTGCAAGACCCATACTGTGCGTGGGACAAGCAGGCAGGGCGATGTCGCGCGTACTCACACGGCGTCAGTCGCTGGCTCGACGAGAACTCCTTCTACCAGAGCGTCAGCACTGGCAGTCACGCGGCATGCCCTCATAGTGAGTACTGAAGCCGCGTTTCCTTTGTCGTTAATTCTGTCAACAATGGAAGGCATAAGCTTCCCTAAGCGTCAAAGAATGATTTTTACATGTTTTTTAACTGACTTATAAAAAATTTAGGCGTTCAGTTAATAGCAATTTATATAACTGCACGATATTAACAGGCAAAGACGCAGGGGCGGTCGGTGGACTCAGTTCAGGACTGTACGATGATGCCAGAGAGAACAAAGGAGAAGTCATAAATATTGTGCAGGACAAAGATGGGAAAGGGAGCAACAATAATAACGAAGGTATGTAAGAAGAAAGGTATAAACAAACTGATAAATCAAAGTTAAAAAAACTCCCTATGCAATAACTGTAATTTGCACTCTAATAAATTCCAGGCCCAGAGGTCTTAGCAGCAGATCCACCTCCGGCAGCATATTCCGTAGAAACGTTGGCGTTAGCAGTGGCGGCGGGGGCACTAGCAGCACTCGGAGCTGGATTTGCAGCAGGTTACATCTGTGGAAGACGCTGCAAGAAGGACGACGACGACAACATGCCCTACCCTGACACGGAATATGAGTATTTTGAGCAGAGGCAGAATATTAATAGGTAAGAAATGGAGTCATTGAGCAATTCTTAGTAAAAATAACCGAGTTGCACGGCGTAGTTAAATACTTTCAACAAATACGCTAAATACCATTATGGAACGATGTCGCAGTTTAACCGTTAAAAAGAGCCCGGACGTAATAAAGCATTTCGCGACCAGGATCCAAGCGGAGCCCAAGCTGCTCCAGCAAGTGGAGGAGGTGACGTACGCGGAGCCGGTGCTGGCTCCTCAGCCCAAGCCCGCCTCGCCCCGGGCCACGCTGCGCAAGCACCCGCCCTACCACCCCCACCACGAGACCCTCTTCCAGTTCCAGCCGGACACCTACCGCCGGGACAATTTCGGGACCCTGCGCTCCCATCAGGTCAATGTCAGTTCTGCTCCTTCGTTTATTCGCATGGCTTCTGCGTGGTGACCGGTACTGGCATACGCTGATACAAAGTTCTACGTACCCTCGGCTCTTTCGTTCTAATCGAAAACAATTTTAAGAGAACATTTGACGATTACTTAATATTTTGAAATAATTATCAAATACAAGAGAGTATAAAATTTTTTTTACGGACCAGTTTGAATCATAAAAAATATTAAAGTGTCCTGTCACCACATTAGTACATTAACCAAACAAGTGTAATTTGCAACTTGAAGAACCCAATTTTTTATCTCAATTGTAACAGCCTGCATTTATTTAAATATCATTTAAAATATTTAATCCTGACATATTTACTTTTAAATGTGTTATATTAATGATCGATACACGCGCATGTGTCATACATACAAATTTAAATACGCGTGCAAGTTACACTTTAAAATTTCTCCGCACTTATCAATGTTTGTTAATTCCTAACTACTCGGGAACAATGACTTTTAACCGCTTATTTAATATTTCATCATATTCATTCACTATCCATTTAAGCTTTCCATTAATCATGCAATTAACCACTCTCGTAACCGTTGCTTACATGTAGACAATGACAAGTTTCATACTCGAGATGTTCCGTGGCAGAAAACAGATCGAATAAAAGGCAAACTCGGTCGATGGCTTCGTTTAAACTGAAGCCAATGTCACGATGTAATCTTGAAGTATAAAGCTTTTAATAGTTGCATCAGTTCACTAACGCCTCATTAACATCATTTTTCTGCGGCATGTCAGTTAACGCAGGAATGTTCGGACCGCAGGGCGATGGGTACCGGCGGGGCAACGACAACGGTTTCTCGACAACGCGTTCAGTGAAAAAGGTGTATCTCTGAGAAACAACCGGGGCGGACGCGCGCGACCAATTGCATCATCATAAGCATAACGCGCACCATCACCACACTTTGGGTGAGTTGTCCTTTTTTTGGAGAATAAGTAACCGAACATTGTTTTGTTTTAATTTTTGAAATCACTAAACAGCTTTTTAAAATAATGTCGGTATAAAATAACATAATTAATTAGGCTGTTTATCTATCTGACTGACATCAACGCAGAACATATCTCGTTTTGCCAGTTGCTGCATAAATGGTTTCTTTTTACCTAAAATTAACGTAAAAGTAACAAGGCCTGAATGTCGATCACTATCAAGTGTATTTAATATTTGTTTATTACAAGAAACAAAGACTCATATACCTCATCATAGAGACCAGTGGGAATTGATTGATTGTGAGACGTCTAATTATGTGCCGTTAACGATTTCCAGTGTCGCAGCGCAGCAGCGGTTCGGGCAGCGTGACCGGCAGCGGATCGTCGTCGTCTCCGTCACCGCCGTCGTCTTCGCCTTCACCTTCGGGCGAAAGGCCCCCCACGCCACCGCCCCCCGCACCCCAAGCCTGCGCCTATATCTACCGCAACTAGCCGCCCCGCCCCTGAAGACTTTCGGTGCGTTGTTATCGATTGTGAATGTGATTGTTTTCGCCCGAGAGACATATCCCGGTGCGACGTTGTTATTCCGACTTGTTGTTGATGGACGAGGAACTTTGATCGTTCTGTGTGATTTATCGGCGGTTTCGTCCGATTGCCTCTCATCGGCGACCGACCGAGGCCCACTTCTGTAACGGGATCGAACTTAAATTTGTCGAACCGGTTATCGCTATGGATCCATTGTTGACGGCATCGATAGTGATCGAGACTACGTTGTGACGTCATTCCAAAGGTTCTTATCCTACTGACGTATCTCAGAGTGTATTTTTTTTAATACTAAGTATCGGATGTACGGTGGCTGACTTTGTAGATCGTTTAGAAAGCATAGTTTACTGATAATTTAAGTAAATTATAAGTTTTGTTGGTAACATGTTGCTACATGGTTAGTGTCGTACGTTGCAAGTTTTCTCATATTTTGATATTATCTTCATTCGAGGAACATGCAATTCACGAGTCGCTTTTTTACTACTTTAGAGTTAAAAGTTAAAGATCTACTATGTCGCTGCGAGTCGTGAGGAAAATTGACTAAAATGCTTAAGTCTTTCTTAAACGGTTTAAGAAACGTAGATACATATTCATTTGAAGTGTCGACCTTAAATGGTTTAATTAATGATAAGAATTATAAAGTTTCCATGTTCATTTTAATATCATGAGTTTTAAATATGCTCATTGCTATATCCTATACACATATAACTTAGCAACACCAATGTTGTATTGCCCAACATTACTCAATAACCATTTGATGAGAGTATGGCAGGATAGCGTTTATCATTGCTATATTTTCGTCGAATAACTCGACCGTAAAGTGGTGTTAAATTTCATGCTTGTTTAAAAAGATCAGGTCTTCAAACTCTTGAGCACTGACATCAAACCCCAAACAGTCTTGGAACATAAAAATCACTGATCTACTTTCATTACTTTAATTCCAATAGTTATACAGCGTGGGAACAGATGTTATATTTGCATAATGGAACTGCCAACATCATTGCAACGAAAATGTTAATAAATTGTTTTTAGTGTTGCCAAGCTATAAACGGTTGACACAAAGTGAACTCGCCACAAAACGCAAATATATACCTTGTACAAATAATTAAAAGTCCTGATAATCGTTCGTAATTAAAGTGCTTCTTATGGATGTATCTAGATATAGAATAGAAACGTTTTGACTATTCAGTAATGTTATAGATTTAGTCATATGCATAGTCTAGGGCGACGCGTCGAGCTCGCGATTTAGATTGTTGGTACGTCATTTTGTAAATTAACAATCACTGTGATCAATCGATCCATGTACATACATTCTATGACGTTACAGGGCCTTTAGCCAAGTGAACTTTTTCGCAGGCGTAAAAATAATTTATGTGGAGTTGTCACGTGGTCATGTTTCCCGCTGCGACGTACGCTCACGGCAAAAGGCACTTGTCTAAGAGCAGGGGTTAAGACACGCCGCCATTTTGTTACAAATTGACACGAAATGTCGACGCATAACCTAACTTATAAAATATACGATTCTAAATGTTAACCATAAATGTGGGCCAAACGTTTTGATTTCATTTTAATGACGTTCCTGTTGCTGTTTTATAGTTAAAGAACTTAAGCTTTCGACACTGCGTAGTGATAGTGTCACTTCACTGATTGTTGACAATTGATTGTATGTAAAAAATGTCAATTCTATTTGTAATGATCTAGTGCCTAAGTGTGTGTGGCGGGATAGCTCCGTTTTCGCGTGGAAAACTGATCTAAAGGCATGTCGTAGGCCTACTTACAACCATTTCATTTTTTCATTCATTTAAATAACGCAAATTCTATTACGTTATAAATAAGATATTATGTGGGTGGTGTTTACAGTATACCCATCCTTTATAAGAACGAGATTGAGTTATCATATAAAACCGCTCTACGTTCTGTCGGTTCGGTTTGCTTTTGCCATTGTACGCAGGTAGACATGCCCTTAGATCCTTGTAAATAATGGTGCATTACGATGACATGATAATCGTTTAAACTGATTTAGTACGAGTTGTAGAGTAGACACACAATAGAATACCAATTAACGTATCACTATGGGCATACACAAACTATTGAATACTTCATTGTACAAAAGTTTGTGCTCGCCTCGAGGTTCCTTCGATTTAGTTCGTAGAGCCAAAGATACAATTGTTTTTAAATATCTATAAAGTCTCGTTGTTTGGTCTCTATGTAGCTAAATCGAAGCGTTATTTGGGCTCGCTTGTTAAAATTAAATACGCCCGTTAAGAAAGTGAGATGGCATTCTAAAACCTTAATATTCTAATAATACAATACTCATGTGTAATACGTTTACATACCAAAGACGCCGTTTTAAGATATAATAATTTATTTCTAGTGTTAGGTAATTATGTATTTACTTAAATATTACTTTTTAATTATCGATATAAACTGCCAATATTCGTATTTAATATTATGAATTTAACGCACAGTTTTGTTTCTTATATACAATAGTTGCTATTATTATGATATTGGCGTTACACGAGACAAATTTCTCTGAATTTTAAAAGCGTACAATCAAATAAAAGACCTATGCTTGCTTTTTTAAAATTCCAAGAAATTTTAAAATTGTACTAATTATGTTAAGCCTTTTAATTTAAATGTATATAGAAAGATTTTTAATGTAATTTGGTCAAGAACTTAGTACTAAGCATTAAGGTTAAGCGCAAAATTTTGAAAAAAAGGATTGTTAAGAGTTGTTTTGTAATAAATGATGAAATGTACAATAACCATTTCTATGTTCAGATAACTGAACCATCTTTTTATACTCGTAAAACATGAACATGCCTAGAAGTCTTATATAGATATAACGTAAGCGTAAATTATTTATTGATTATCGGAAATTATATTAGAAAGTATCATACGTACGTAGAAATAGACCGCTTCATTTTGTTTGAGACTCGAAGCCTTAGTGTTAGAAATTGAAGACTTTTATTATACCTAAATAAATTGTAATTACAGAGGATTACATTTTGAAGAATCCGACTTATTAACTTAATCATAAGATATAGCGCGTTTACATCACATTTATCTCAAACTAACCATCACATAGGTTCTTGTATCATATAATTATATTTTATGACATACATTTTTCATTAGACTGAAATCTACGGTGATTTGGTAGTTGTTTTGTAAATTCGCATTCTTGTCTAACAATACAAGTATGTTTATTATTTTTAAGAACAATTTTTATTACACCAATTACTTGTTGAAAATTAAGATTTTGATTTTTAAAAAAACTATCGAATCGCCGTTAGTCGTTTGTTTTGTCGTGTCGTGTGCAATATTTTTCTACTTCAGTCGTAAAAAAAACATTGTGAATTAATCTTTGGGAACTCAGTACTATAAAGTGCCTAAGTAATTTTCATTGCAACTGTAGACGACCCACACTCCCGGACTCCGTACAGCTTTAGTCAGATTTTTTAGCGTGCCTTTAGCCATAACTAGTTACCGACTGTTTGAGATAACGATTTAATATTATGATCACAATAAAATAGAAAACAAGGGAAATCTATTTCGTCTTCTCTCTAAACTCTCGTTCATGTCTTGTTACACGGAAGGCATAGACAATATTATCCTTTAACTGCCTCTTTCTTGTTTCTTACCTTGTAATAAGCCCGCGCCAACTAAATTCCATATTGAGGGTTTTACTTGCAAGAGCATTGTGATTATTAATTATAAAATGGTTATCGCGAACAATGTGAGATAATTTACTTAATATTGTAATTTATATTAAGTTTTTAATAATTGCTAATTTGTAAAGTATCCTACGTTTAGGTTCGGTTTGCATTTTGGTCCATCTACATCGTGTCTTGCGTACGAAATACCTTCATCTGTTTGTGTGTGCGCAAGACAAAGTGTAGTCAAAGCCTTAGACACTGCATAGGTTAAGTAGGAGTTTATAATGCAAAAAGCAAAAAGCAAAGGCAGTGAATAGACTGTTACACCATATTCGCTGCTCATATTTATAGAGTGCAATTTTTTATAACTAGAAACAAATAGATAAACATTGATCAGCGAAATACAATTTTCTGCCTAACAGTGAACAAATTTTGTATTTTTCTCGTCATTGTTTGAGATGTTATGATCATTTTCTCATTAAAATATTATTAATATATGCTAAATATTTTAGCAAAGGATAAAATGTATTCCTTTTCTTTAGTAAATAAAATATTGAAACTTGACTATTGTTTATTCTTTACAATAACCATACGTATACATGATAGTCGACTTAGTCAGTTGCAGATTCCTACAACTGAATTAAAGTAGGTGTAAATTCATATTAAAGATAAAGTAGGTGTATAAATTAAATAAAAGTTAAATAAAATTATATTTTATTAAAAAGGGTCCTAAATTGTTAGTCGGGTGGATTAGCGTGAGCCTAAGGCCCTTTCTCCACTGCTCCGGTCCGGCGTCGGATACCGGAATGAGTCATGAGAAAAATATCGGAAGGCCGGATTGCGCTTCTCCACTATATCCGATCCGACAATAATCGATACTTATATATTTATCATACACCATTTATATTAACTAAAACCCATATACTTTAATAAAACGTTCTACATTCTGAAAATTTAATGCCCTGGCAAGTTTATTACTTTTTTAATATTGTCTATCTTAAAATATTATAATCTACTTAATAAATAGTTATGTATTGGTCCAGGTTATCTAGCAAGTTATCGGATCGTTAAAAACCGGATGCCGGAGTAGTGGAGAAGTACGTAAGTACTGTTGTGAGTTTCTAAATCGGATCGGTAATTAACGTTTGCCGGACCGGAGCAGTGGAGAAACGGCCTAAGAGTGCTAGGTAATTAAACAAATAATTCAAGCCTCCAATTGTATGTGGAAGGGAAGCCTTGTACATGTTTATTGTTTTTAACGACTTTATTTTATGTTTAACTAAGACCCATATTTTTCAATTTAATATTGTTCAGATTTTCATAATTAATTACCAAATTTATGAGGATGTCGAAAATAACTTCAAAAAATTCTTAATATTGACTATCGACTAGGTACATTCGACGAGTTTTGAAGCACCAAACGTTACTTTGAAAGAAAAAATCCCAGAAGCCAGTGGCCTGTTTTCCTTTACCGTACACGGTACAAGCTAGTGTTAATAGTGAACTAATTTGGTATGTTTAAAAGTCCATTAGTGCATTAATTAGTAGTATGTTTATTAGGGGCTTTCACGATTTAAAAAAGGATATTTTGATTAGAAAGTAAAAAAGATGTATGCTGCCTTTCTCGAAAGCCTCTTAATTTTTAAATTATGTTGTAATATAATATAATTTCACGTTATCTGTGTAAGATAATGTCTAGACAAAAGACGGCATTGACAAGGAGTATCAATGTCAGAGTCGAATGTCAACTATAATATATAAATAATCATAATATATTCAAACTTCAAAGCGTGTTTTAAAAATACAAAAATATTAATTATTTGTTTATTTATTATTATAATTTAGATAATGTAGCGATAAGCGAACCTATAAAAAGCGACATTAATTATCGTTACAGGAATTTGCAAAACTGTGACAATAAGATTAAGTTACTTGGATAACGTAAAACTTACAGTTTTAATATGACGAAAAACATTCAAAGCTGTTTTTCCTTTAACTTTAAAAGTATTCTCATTGATGAGATAGGCCTCAATGGTTTAGAAGGCATTAGCCTTGATTTTCTCTGGAAACGTATGGGAAGTAGATTATCATGTACTCTTACACCGAAAATAATATGCAAATTTTGGAACTTCTTATCGTCTTCGCAATCTATATCTTTTTACAGTCTAGATACGCCTGTACCCAGGATAGATGTATTGGATCGATTCACATTAGTTGATGAAGAATCTGGTCAATTGTTGGATCCTGTAAGTTGTAAATTCACTATTACTAAAGACCTTAGTTGTGGTCTACTTATTGAATAATGCACAGTATCTCCTCTTATTAAAATAACAAGGTTGTGTAATGGCTATACAATTTTATTGCAGCCTACAGCCATTGATGGGCCATATGAGTTCTGTCTGATTGAAGGGGAATATGGATCAAGTGCTAATTACAAAACCAGATCACCAATACCCTTTAAACTCATAAGTACAAAGACATATGAGGAAATTGTAGAAAAATATGGTGATACATTAGTAATAGTAGCATCAATAGAAGTGAGATGGCAGGCTCTGGCCCCGCATTTACCTATATGCCTTCTATCTTCGCTGTCACCAGTTCATTATTGTATATTAGAGCTGGTTGGCAAAGGGAGAGGAAATGTAAGTTATATTTATTGACATAGTAATATTATTTTTAACTAAGCAAGAGAAGGACTTGGCCTATTGAAAGTCAATTAACTAATAATATAACTTTAAAATTTCAGGGACAAATGACCATTGGCAATACTAATCTTACTAAAATAGTGAAAGAGTCTAAACTTCTTTTTTACAATAGAAAAACATTGCAAAACCTAGATTTAATAAGAGTGCAATGTGTTACACAAGTCATGGGTGATAGGGGTATGAAGAGTTTATTGTTACGACTGAAACGTTTCCATGAGCCATTTGTGAAGTCTCAACCAAAGATAGGCAAAATACGAGATTTATTTGAATATCTCCTTAAACAACCAAATTATAGTGAAAGAAATGAGGAGATGATTAGAATGGGATATCTAACTCCTCATCAAAGTAAACGACTACAAAAAACTATTAATATTTTTAAATTTGTAAGTACTTATTCCTAAGAGAAGTAATGGTAATGAAGGAAGAGGTTATCAATTTATTTGAAGTTGTAATTACTTTGTAGCCAAATTTAAATGGAACTTTATAGAAGGTTCTCTTGACTTATTTTTTGGGAGTTGTTTATTTTGTAATTGTAAATTAAGTAAAAGTACAGAAACAGCCTGAAGAGCCATGCCACAGTACACATACAATAACTTAAAACTTAATAAAAAAAATCTGTGGCGCTACAACCTCTTTAGGTCTTGGCCTCAGATTTCTGATTCTGTTTCATGATCATTTTTAAATCTAATAGGCAAATAGGTGATCAGCCTCCAGTGCCTGACACACGCCGTCGACTTTTGGGTATAAGACATGTCGGTTTCCTCACGATGTTTTCCTTCACCATTCGAGCAAATGTTAAATGCTCACATAGAAAGAAAGTCCATTGGTGCACAGCCGGAGATCGAACCTACGACCTCAGGGATGAGAGTCGCACGCTGAAGCCAACACTGCTTTAACTGCAGAAGTAAAAACTTAAGAATGACAATAATGATTACAATAAAATACATAAAACACATTTTTACTAACAATACTTTATATATCTAAAAATCACGAATTTATGGAACCAAACAATTAACAGGTTTTGCAAGGACAAGCCTAACCTAACTCTAAACAGGCTAAATAATTTGCAGGTTGATCTGTAACAAATCAACAATAAATAGATATATATATATATTATCCGATCCAATATGTAGTTTGTTACAAGTATAATTTTATATTATAGGAAGAAAAAGATGAAAAGAAAAAGAAGCATATAACACTTATATCTCCAAGTGATGAATCATCTCATTCAGAAGATGAGACCCCTGCAACCCCGCTTAGGTGCCAATATAAGGTTGGAGTCAGTCTTTTGAGACAAGCATATGAACGATTCGTCGATGCTGGCTTAAAGGGCTTGACTCAAATTGAAATAGCTCAACTACTCGGCATAGAGTTTTACACGAGCAGAATAATTTGTCGGATCTTTAAAAACAGAGGACTAGTTAGCGAGTTCCTTGAGGATAAGGGTAGACAGAGGACTGCAAGGTATTGCAAATTAGTTTAATTAAATGCTGTTTTTTTGTTTTCATAATATAAGCAGAAAATATACAGAGGATAGTAAAAAAATCAAATTGATTATGATATTTTTGACTTTTCAGAATAATATAGCAATTTACAGCATCGCATTTTTTATTACAGATATATAGCGGTAGCTGCAACTAAGGAAATTAATAATATTTACGCTGAAGAAAAACAAAAACTCTTAGATCATGTAACTAAAAATAGGAAACGGTGCAAATCGGTGGAATCTGAAACTCAAGTGAAACGTCGCAAACAAGAAAATAACGGAGACGATAAGAATGATGAGGACGACCTGGAGAAGTTTATAACTGAAATTAGAGTGCTCGATGGCTTTGAAGATCGGACTAAGGAATCCTTGATCAATAATAAAAAGAAACCAACATTACGGCAATTAAAGTTTGCAACTGGCATTTTGAAAGTTGTTAACGAACGGGGTTTCGTCACAGGATACCAAACATTATCCAGTTTCGTGTCTCTAGACACGGGCGAACCGCCGATGGACACCAAATCCTTGAAACTGGTGCTTCAAAAGTTAATTACTGACGGACAAATAAAAATTTATAAGTTAAGAATATCGTGCCCCGACAAAGATAGGTTCTCACTCTGCATATGTCCTCCGTACGTCAAGCCTAATGACTCTCTTTTGAAAGATCATTACGCGGAGTTAAGTTACAAAGCCCGAATGAAGTACAAAACCGCAAATAAAAAAACATCCAAGTTCATAACTCGACCTTTGACCAAGTTCGCGTACCCTCGCTATATGAAAATTCAAAAGCTACACGAACAAATTGTACAACTCGTTTACCTTAGCGAATACAAATCTAATTTTATTCCGGGATTCGCTTCCTTAAACGAGCTGGTGCCAGAAATGACAGTGGAATTCGCATTGGGGAACATTCTTTTCGATAGTGAAAGGCTCACTTGTTCAAATTTGAAATATAGCGACGAAGTGTTGGAAGTGAAACTGAAAGATGCCCCCGATAACATCAGATACCCTATTTTAAACTCTAAGAGCCTACATAACTCTATAAAACTCAGTTTAAAATTACTCGCCGTTTTAGGCCTCATTCAGCTGATACGAGACCCGGCCTCGTGCGCCATGGACGAGACTGTTTACCTGAACTTCGTGTTCTACGTAAATCAA